CCCGCCTGTCTTTGAGGAACACTGAGTTCAGAAGACATCTATAGGAACAAGTGTAAACTCCTACACACACAAAAAGGAAAGGAACAACATGACAGAGTTGAAACAGTCAAGCTAGAGGAAAAGCCTCCAGGAACGAGCATAAGTTTGAGTCTTTATTTTCCCAGGATTATGTGTTGGGATGCTGGGGCCTGATACTTTATTCTGTGTCATTTCATGCTTAATTGTGAGCTATGCAAATAATACCAATGCATGTAAATATTATGTGAGTAAGTACTTACCTCTTCTACCCTTCCTTGAGAAATGTAGTCTAAGAAAATAGCAAGAAGATTCTTAGGGCATTAGGTGAATCAGTTAGAATATAGATTAATGAGAGGCTCCTGATAGCCACACAAATGGTCTGAAGCCTTTTCTGAGGTTTGAGGAACTGTTGTGTTGTCTTAAATTGCTAGAATTTGCTTTATAGCTAAGACCATAAAACTAGCCTAGGTCATGAATGAAATGGCTGCACTTCAGAGGAAAATTTCTGCCCTGGGGTACCAGAGAAGTGGAAGGATATGCTGTCACTCACAATTCAGGTGGTTTGGGGGAAGCCAAAAAAATCCCATCAAATGTCAGGTAGTGGGGAGCAGTCCTAGGATGCAGGATCTCATTTATGGCTCCTAGGGAGCACAAATAGCATTCATAAGGCTCTCAGAGCATAAAGAGATGCACCGTGCCAGAGCTGAAGCTCAGCCCTCACCAGCCTTGGGGTTTACAGCCCGTTAGATGCTTACATGTAGCGGTAGAGTCATAGTTGGCAAGGTCAAGCTCTTAAATACAGGCAGGGTGGAAAATAATAAATGTTGCAGTAATGCATGGGATTAAAATAGTAAAAGCTGGGGAGGCAGCCACCCCCTCCAAATAGCCACTGTGTAACCTTGAGGGGACCGGGATGACAACTCTGCCACCCCTTCCTCGGCCGTTTGGGAGACTTTGCCTGCCGCCCTTTGGCAGCAGCCGAGGAGGAGGCGCTCCGCGACCAACCTGCTCTTTTTCAGGTGTTTGAGCCAGTCCTTGCCCGCTCAGAATGAAAAGCCCTTTGTGATTGCTTGCTCACTCTGGACCGACCTCCCCTACATTCCTTCTCTCCCTCTCCACCCCGTCCCTCTTAAAATACAAGTCTAGGCAGTTGTGGAACCAATCTCCTAACTTTTCACAAGTTATGCAAGCACATAGGGGCACGGTTTTTGAAGCCTGATCTTCTATCTCAAATTCTTTGGGGGGGTCTATCCCAATAATTTCCTTTCCCCTAAGTCCTACGCTGTCATCCCATCTCCTGTAGCACCTGACAGCACCCTCTCTCCAAATCTGTAGAGAAGGACAAAGAGTAGTAGTTGTGGATTTTCCTTTAAGGAGTCAGGACAGAAGTAGCAAGAGCGCTAGCTGGGTTTATATTTTTGGTAACAAATGTAAAACAGTATGATCTCAAAAACCTGGAATGAAAAACTATGGAATACAAAATATTTTTTTAAGGGACTAAACCCAAGACCTTCACCCTGAACCACAGCCCCACTGCTTTATTTGAGGCCCTACATCGTCACAGCTAAGCCCAAACTTGTGATTCTCCTGCCTCAGCCTCCTAGAGTGTTGGCATTACAGATGTGTACCATTATATCCAGTTATAAAATGCTTTAAAATTTGTTTTGTTAGTACGTATTTTCAGCACTACATTTATTGTGGGGAGTTTGTACATGACACATTCTTAATTCTTTTTTTGTCCCTTTTTCCTCCCATCCTCACTGTTCCCTCCAACTTTTACTCCCTTCCCATTTAAAAAAGCTCTATTTCCACTTTCTTTCTTCTTTTAGTCCGTTTTCCTTTTCTTCCTTCTCTTCTCCCTCCATCTCTCATTCCCTTTCCCATTTGAAAAAGATCTCCCTACTTCCTATTATCTATCTTTTAGGGGCTGGGGATTAGTGGTACAGCACCTTCCTGGCAAGTGCAAAGTCATGAGTTCAATTCCTGGTACTGGAAAAAAAGAAAAGAAAAGTTATCTTTTATTTTGCTTTTTATGTATGCTTTTAGCTTTTCTTTCTTTCTTTCTTTCTTTCTTTCTTTTTTTTTTTTTTTTGGTACTGGGAATCGAACTCAGGACCTTGCGCTTGCCTGGCAGATGCTTTGCTGCTGAGCTATATTCCCAGCCCCTATGCTTTTAGTTTTTTGTGAAAGAGAAACCATGTGATATTTCAGCTTGTGTGTCTGAGTTATTTTGCTTAACATTATGGTCTCAAGGTGCATCCATTTACCTACAAATAACTCAATTTTATCCTGCTTTATGGTAGAACAGTGCTCCCTTGTATATAAATGCCACGTTTTTTTATTCTTTCAGCTGTTGATGGACACATAGGCTGTTTCCAGGATTTACCTATTATAAATTGTGCTACTGTAAACATAGATATGCGTATCACTCAAATGATGACTCCAACTCTTTTGGGAAGATTCCTAGAAAGGGAGTAGCTGGGTCAAATGTATTTCTATTTTTGGCTTTTGAGGAATCTCCATGCTGATCTCCATAGTGGTTGTATTGGTTTACATACCCACCAACAATGTACAAGAGTTCCTTCTTCCCCTGCAGCCTCCCCAGCATTTGTTATCTGATTTCTTGCTGATAACCATTCTTTATGGAGTCAGATGGTATCTCAGTGTTACTTTAATTTGCATTTCTCTAAAGGCCAGCAATCAGACAAAATTTGCTAACAAAATTATGAGAATAGTAATAGTTAATATACTGTGTATCGTTCCCATCAAAGTAGTTACTCAGTACAAAACATCTACAAAAAAGATTATTACAAAGACGAAACAAATATTAGCACAAAACTTTCTTTTCAAGGAACCAAGAGAAACTAGTAGTATAAATGAAACAAATTAGCATATATATTAAAATATTTTTGAAATGGCAGAATAGGTACTTTGGGGAACCATTGGAACCTCTTCCCACTTCCTCTTTATTTATCTTCCACTAAAATACTTTTGTAAAAAGGCCGAACGGTTATAACTAGTTCTGGGACAGAGACTAGGGGCAGAGGAGAGGAGGATTCTGGGTAGTGGGGCAAAGGGAAGAGGAAGAATGCAAAGATAAGCAGGGGAATCACTTGTGGGTATAAACAAATTATATTTCAGTGAAGGATTAGGCAAGACTTCGAGTATTTTTATATCTCTACATTTTCAGAGCTTGGAATAGAAGAAGCGGCCCCAGAGTAGAACACAGGGGACCTCGGTGAGGCGTACACACTGCCTGCCAGTGTAGCTCGGCTCACTAGATCGGGTTGGGTGTGGTATGGCAACCTTGCTGGGAACATCCAAAATCCCAGGCTTCATGAAGACAGGTCACACAGCAGGCCTGAGTTGGCTCCTCAGTTTTCGGGACCTGGCTTCCTCTGAGCTTTCTGCACTGCCATTTCTAGGGAGGCATGGAGAATCCCAACTCTGCAGATTTCCCTTCCTGTCCAGACAGTTGTGTGACTGTGTCTTCCTGTGAAAGAGACTGAGGAAGGTCATGCTTCAGCTGAATGGCTACGTGTCCATTTGAAGCCCCTCAAAGAGGGCTTCGGATAGTCTGAGAAAAGTCGTAGAAGTTCCTCATCGTGGGATCTGTTGCTGCAGTGACTGCCGAGTGCCAGCTGTGTTCAGGCACCGCTCCGGGGGCGCATCGGGGAACGTAGATGGGTTCTGTACTTAGGAAACCATAGCTCAGTGGGAGTCAAGACAGGTTATAAGTGGCAGTCATCTGACAGCCGACCTTGTGTGCTCGAGTCCAGCCGTACATCAGTATGACGGGAGCAGACAGTGTCAAACATCAGTGTGCAGCCTGAGGCATCGTGGACGTCTCTGGGATACAAATTCCATTCAGCGGACCCTCTCCACTGCCTGCCCAGAGAAGGAAGGCCGGGAAGAGAAGGCAGGAGAAGGGAACAGGTAGGGAGCTGGAGGAGGCCCAGCCTGAGTCAGGTCACCTTCAGTCAAGGTCCCTTGAGGGCCTCATACACAGAAAGACTAGAGAGAAATGTCCCAAGTCTGTTTTTCTGTTTCTTGGCAGAGAAGGATTTGGGGCTGTCTCCTTGGAGAGGTACAAAGCAGTATGGTGAGGAATAGTTTTGTACCTCCCATGGGTTTTCAAGGGCAAGCCGGGGAACATGGGAAAACACAGGGACAGGGCCTTTTCCTTCTCAGGTGACCTGCAGGGGGTGGTTTAAGCTTGATTTCGCTGGGAACCAGACACATGTTCAAGTTCAGGCCATACATAAAAGTGGGCGTGGTTCTATTATGTGGCCCAGGAGCCAGTGGCACCCACCCAGCGCCCTCTGCCACAGCTGCCGTGCAGCACCCTGTGACCATCTGAGGCAAAGCATCAGTTTTTTGCTTTAAGTTTCTATGTCCAGTCAGGCATGAAAGTAAAATAGTGTGTTAGAAAAGTTAGTTCTATAACATGTAAACCGAGGCTTCTATTATTGAGTCAAGAAACATAAAGTTGCTCTAAGTGCTTTACAAGTCTTAATTCTCAAACTTGAATTTGCCTGGAGCAGAGAATTCAGGGCCGTGCTTACTAGCTCCAAGGACTGCACCTCGGGTCTCTGTGCAGAGCTGGAGACAAAGGCAATCAGGAGCTGCTGTTCTTCCCAGCTCCGGGTTAGGCAATTCAGGAAGAGAATGAAGAGCTGCCCTGGCCCAGCTGTCCCTCACTGTCCCCTACAGCTATATCTCTCTGGCCCCTCCTACCCAGCTGACTGCTGCTTGAATGGATTTCCTCCCGTAGCCCCAGTGCGGGTGAAAATGTCATCACACACCCACACCTGGAGAAGGGCAAAATCCAACCACCTGTCATCTTGATGCAGGTGTCGCCACCTGAGCACAGCCATGGGCACACCCGGTTTGCCTGGTTCAGCAGGGCAACCGCTTGTCTCCAGCTGGCATGCCTGGCCCAGCCCAGGTAGGGTGAGGTCACCGTGGACTCTGTGTTGCAGTTCTCCAAGGAGAGGCACGTCATGGACAGGACCCCTGACAGGCTGAAGAAGGAGCTGGAGGAGGAGCTGCTGCTGAGCAGCGAGGATCTGCGCAGCCACGCCTGGTACCACGGCCGCATCCCCCGACAGGTACCTGCTTCCCTACATGGCACATCCAGCTCTCCTTGGGCCATGTCAGATCAATGGTCCTGCAGGGCCCTGCTCCAAGGTCACGTGGGAGTGAGCTCCTGATTAGCCAAAAGTCAACACTATCAAGTGACCTAGACACAGTCTGAGGACACCTTGGGAAGAGTGAATGTCAGGAGCCCAGAGTGCCCAGTAGGCGGACGCAGGAAACTCCAGCGTCCTGAGGTCTGCAAACATTCTGTAGGAGGCTGTAGCCACAGAGCCAGTAACCTGAGGAAGTGCGCAGTCGGGCTGTGGTTCACATAATTGAGCTCTTGGCCAGTTGCCATAACAGCCTCCTGACGCTTGGAACCTGCCTCCTTTTTAAGGTAACAGGGCAGGTGGCACAGGCTGACAAGGCCGCCTCTGTCCTACTGGGACCGGCAATTTTTCACTCCCTCCATCCTTTCCTTACCAGATCCCATGAAAACGCAGAGAGGGGGAAAAGGGAATTATACCAATGGCTGCAGACTTGTGGCTTAGAAGATACTCTGTGTGATTGTCATTTGGGGGATTGCCATGGATCATGTTTTTATTTAATAATATAAAAATTGAAAAATAGACTAAGTGTGCAAAACTGAGGTATTGAATTTCCCTCGGGTTTTTATTGTAAATCTGAGCTGGCCAGTCATTCACCAGGACAACATGGCAGGAAGTGAGTAGGCGGGGTAGAAGGGAAGGGCATCGTGTAAAAAAATTCTTTTACTGTAGCAGAGTTCTCACCACTATCAAAGAAACATTCCTCATTCGAACCTTGTTTTTTAAGCTTCACACTGGAGAAAATATAGATAACAAAAGGAAGAAAATTAAATTCTCTTCCGTAACTGTCGCTCCTGAAGACAACCACTGTGAACATTTTGAGATCTGTGCTCCCAGAGCTCCCAGTGGAGCAGGAGATGGTACCGCACATCCCTTCTGTGGTCCACTATCCGCACTTAGCGCTGTGTCCTGAGAATTTTCACTTGCTGTAAAACACTCTGCTGCACCAGACTATATTGAGCGCACGCCTGTTGTACACACACACCACAATTTATTGGACACGTGTGTTCCTAGCACTCTGAGCAAAATCCTTTACGATAGCTACTATATTCATACCTATAATTATTTCCACAGGCTCAATTCCAAGGGATGGAATTTTTGTGTGAGAACATACTTTTTAAGCAAAGATATCATTTTAAGGAAACCATGGAAGCATACTGTCCATAGCTAACAGAAATATACAATTAATTTAATGTTGGAATATCCCAGGAAATTTTTCAATTTATTAAACTGGTAACTGCTACCACAATCCTTCTCCTTGTTTGGATCGTAAAATCTGTTTGCCATTTGCCATGAGGATAAATATGTGGTGATATATCATGCCCGACTAGATAACTGAACACTATGACAAGAATAGTGATAGTTATAAGCCAACACTTCATCCCTTTGAATCTTTATAAACCGCTCTATGGTAATATTATCCCCATTTTATAGATGGAACTGAGCCACAAAGATTATGTCCAGTCCCACAACTGAAGCAGAACCAGGCTGCTGGGCTACAGAAGAGCCAGGCTTCATAAACTTTCATTTTGGAGTAAGCAGCAGCAGCAGCATTATCTTTAACTACTTCTGAGTAGTTCCAGGCACTGCACTTGTGCTTCGCATATGTTCCACGTGCAAAGACACACTTTCCATGATACCTTTATGAGATGAGGGGCCCCCAACTTGACTTTGTTCTGGGCACAAAGAAAAGGATCGGTAAGTAGCTCTCCAGTTTGACATTAGACAAACTAAACAACTGCCTGAGGAAGTAAAAACATGTAGTACTGTCTTCTGTTTATCCGAAAGCTCCTAAAAGACCAAGTTTGCTGTTCCGAATCTTCTTCACTCATCGTTTGTCCACAGGTGTCGGAAAACCTCGTGCAGCGAGATGGGGACTTCCTGGTTCGCGATTCTCTATCCAGCCCTGGGAACTTCGTCCTCACCTGTCAGTGGAAGAACCTCGCTCAGCACTTCAAGATCCACCGCACGGTTCTGCGGCTCAGCGAGGCCTACAGCCGCGTGCAGTACCAGTTTGAGATGGAGAGCTTCGACTCCATCCCGGGGCTGGTGCGCTGCTACGTGGGCAACCGCCGGCCCATCTCCCGGCAGAGCGGCGCCGTCATCTTCCAGCCCATCAACAGGATGGTGCCCCTGCGGTGCCTGGAGGAGCGCTATGGCACCTCCCCGGGCCGGGCACAAGAGGGCGGCGCTGCCGAGGGGAAGCTGGACATGGCCAAGAGGCTGAGCCTCACCATGGGCTGCGTCCAGGCCCAGGAGCAGAGTTTGCCCAGGGGAAACCTCCTCAGGTGGGTCGGGGCCTCAAGGTGGCGGGATGCAAGGGGTGTTCAAGAGAGCCCAGGCTTGGCTGGGCAGACGAGGCCGAGATGGCGCTAACAGTGCACACAGTTAGCGAAGAGCTGTCACAGGCAGTGAATGAGGAGGTCTCACTTGAGCTGCATCAAAAGTAAATGGTATTCAGGCGTGGTGTAATCGCACTGCTCTTCGAGGCTGAGTCAGGAAGATCAAAAATTTGAGCCCAACCTGGACAGTTTAGCAACTTAGGAGACCCTATCTCAAAAAAGAAAAAGGACTAAAGATATAGCTCAGTGTGAAGGTCCCGAGTTCAATCCTTAGTACTGAAGGGGAAAACAAATGGTGCAGGAGCTGAGGGAGGAGAGGCCAGGCTGGTGGAGGTTGCGGGAGGAGGAGGATTTGGCAGCATAAAAGCTCGGGGAGTCTCGGTGGACATCACAGGGGCAGGGTGGCCAGGCAAGAGGCCCCGCACAGGAGCAGGGACAGGAGATGGCAGGAGGAACGTGGCGGTGGGTGTGGAGAGGAGCCCCAGGCAGGCCCAGCTGTGGTTGGGGTCCAGCCCCAAGTTTGGGCTGAAGGCGCAGGTTGGGGCTTGGTCCCTGTGAGAAGGGTATTCGACTCAGTGAGAGGAGTTGGGACGTCAGGGACAGGAGCTGTGGAGCATAGAGACTGCAGTCTGAACCTCAGGGGGCAGGGAGAGAAGAGTTCAGAGGAGTGGGTAGAAAACCAGGGCCTCAAGACCTCCCTGAGCCGCAGCACCCTGTGTTTCCTGGAGCCCAGCCCCCATGTGCGTGTTGAGTGACGGTGCCGGGGAGGAAGGAGGGCAGAGGCCGGGGTGACCGGCCCTGGCCACAGTAACGCAGCAGCCCCTCTCCTGCTCCCAGCTTCTGAGCTCCTTGCATAAACCACATGCTCTATTCCACTTGCTGGTTTTCTGTCAGATCCAGGAGGAAATGATATAAACTGGAATTTCTTTACAGCAAACATTTAGAAGCAAAACACAGGACTCTGTGAGTAATACAAATTATAGCTCTGTGCTACTGGGAGGCTCTGGGACATGTTAGTCAGCCTCTGGCTATAGACCTGTGGTTCCAGTGCTGGCTCCATGGTGAGTAGCTGTGCAACCCCGGGCAAGTCCCTTGACTTCTCTGGGCCTCCCTTTCTTGTTCTGGGAAGATGGAACTTGTGATGTTTAAATGGCTTATGCGATGCAAAGCACTTTGTGAAGGCGCATAGTAATTGCTAGGTAAGTGCTAATAATCCTAATAATGATTGTTATGTGGAAGGGTTTGAGAAGGTCCAACTCAGGGCATTTGCTGGCCAGCAGACGAGAACAGATATTTAGAAATCACTTTTTCAGTAAGGTTGGGTCTGAGATTCCCTTAAAACATAAAAAGGGTCCCCTTTCTTACGGTCCCCTTGCAAGTAGGCGGCGGCTACTCAACCACTTTAGCAAGGAGTTAATGTTGTGAACAGAGGGCGAACTTTCTTGGCAACACAGTGGGGACAGTGCTCAGGTTGGTGCTGGGAGGAGCCTCCCTGTCTGCTCCTGATACTGGTTTTAAAACTATTTTCTTAAAGATAAGAAATCAAAGAAAAACAAAGTCTAGTTTGAGGAGCAAGCCGAAGAGCCACGTTCTGAGATCGCCCTTTGGAATGCAGAGCCTCCAGTACTAATTCACCCAGGCAGCAGGCCCCGCACATCTGAAGTTGCGGGTGGGTGGGCCAGACATGGAAGGTGGCCCCAGTGGCCTGCCGCTGTGCCCCGCTGCCCTTCAGCAGCTCCCCCACGTCAGCTTTGGCCCTATGCCACCTGCTTTGACGTTGAACCGGCTGGTTGGCTGAGGGCTGGCCGCACGCCCCAGGCAAAGGTGCGTGAGCTCAGCCAGGTTGCATTCCGCCTGGCTCTGTCGGCCCCTGGAGTCTGACCAACTGATTGCTGTGGACGCTGCTTAAATGTCCCTGCTCAGAAGCTGTTTCCTTTGGAATTTGCCCTTTGACTTGCCTTATCTCTGAAGAGTTCTGGACTTTTTCTGTTGCTGGGAGCTTGAGGGTTTTTTTTGTTGGTTTGATGCTTGCAAAGGTAGGAGAGAACTTTGAAGTTTCTGTGCTTTAAGAGTTTTATGCTGCTGGGAGGCCAGTTAATGCTCATTCCAGTTTGGCTGGTGCCGTGCCTTTTCCCTCTAATAGGAGAGTCTCCACTGCTTGATGCTAAATTAGAGAAATTCCCAGTTTGATTCAGAAAGGGACAGAAGGAATGAAAGTGAATGTTGTGAAAGTGACTTTTCAACTTTTCGCAGTGCCTCCTGGTTGCTGCTTGGTGAACTTGCTAATAGCTCCCCCGCCTCCAGCAGGGGAAGGGGTCTGTGGATCCCTACCCCTACCTTGCCACACAGGGCCAGAAGGATGGGTGCAACCACCTCCCTACCGGCCCTGCAGATTGCCTGGGGGACGCTGAGATATTCAGTGAAATAGAAAGTGCCCCATAGCTTCCTTCCAACCGACACTGAAGCATTATGGAAAACGCCTGTTGGTTAAACAGGTCATTCCCCCAGAGTTGGAAAGTAATTTTAGGATCTTTCAAAAGTACACATTCCAGTTCATCAGATTTTCCCCATAGTGCCATGAAACTTTTACTCTGCTCTGTTCAGCAAGATGGGAGGGCTCAGAGGAGGCATCCCAGGACTTAGCTGTCTTGGGGACATAGGATGGTACACTCAGCAGTCGTATTTATAATAATCTCCCCGTCAGTAGTGATTCCTCCTCCGTGTACATTCCTTTACTGTTAGGGTATGCATAGCACTCCTGTTTTCTGCAATTTCTTTCTTTCTTTCTTTCTTTTTTAACTTTTCATGACATTGCCTAAAGTTTTTACAACTTAATGACATTTCTGCCCCGTCTGTCTTCGGCTTCAGGAACAGAGAGAAGAGCGGCAGCCAGCCAGCCTGCCTGGATCACACACAGGACAGGAGGACCTCGGCCCTCAAAGCCCATCAGTCAGAAAGTCACCTGCCGATCGGTATGTCTGGGGTTTTCAGCAGGGAGGGTGGCAACGTGACCCTGACGCCTTTAGGCTGTTGCCCTGTTCTTTTAGTCCCCTAGCCAAGGCTCCATGCCTGCCGCACAGGAGAGGCTATTTATGGTTGCGAAGCACTGAGCGGGATGTTTTGTAAGTTCAAGCCTTCAAGGTGGATGTGATTATCCCTATTTTGCATTTGAGGAAACTGAGGCATAGAGAGGTAAAGTGCCTTGTCCAGAGTTGCCTAGCATCTGAAGCCAGGTTTTTTACTGGTTTTGTTTTAATGGAGTCTCACTATGTTGCCCAGGCTGGTCTTGAACTCCTCCTAGGTTCACATGGTCCTCCCTCAGCCTTCTGAGTAGCGGGGGCTACAGGCACAAGCCGCTGCACATGGACGGAAGCCAGGTTTTCTGATTTCGAATCCATTCCACAAATGTGGTCTTCATGACAAATGAGTTGACTCCCTTATCCTGTCCTCGGGCAGGGGTGAGTGGGTTGATCCTAGAGATCCTGGCAGAGCAGCTGTCCAAAGAGCTTTTCTCCTTTCATGACCAGAAGAGGGAATGATAAGGTGAGGGGTATGGGGAACCTAGTGAGCAGTCACATGAGTAGCACATGGGGTTATTTTCTGTTCTTTTCATGAGTGACTTCCTGGGACCACAGTGATTTTCCTGATGTCCCTTTGTGAACCGCTCTGTGTGGGTTACCTCTGTCTTTGTAGCTCTCCCCTGTGCCTCTAGCTCTCCCTGGCTTTGAGAGTGACTCGGGGCCCTGGCTGCTGTGTAGCTAAAGACATGTGTTTTTTCAGGCAAGACTGCGTTATCCACTGCTGCCCAAGGTCAGCTCGTTTTCCTGTTCTGACTTCTGAGACCATAACATGACGTTGCGGCTCTCAGCAGGCAGCCCTTGGAATTGTGAATTGCCCCAGAAGTGTGGGGCAGGGCCAGGCTGGCCTTCTGCTGTTCTAGACTGCTCTAGACTGGGCTTGAAGCCCACCCCCTGAATCAGAGGGGTGAAAATTGAAAGCCCAGGGCACAGAGCAGGGGCTGGGAGCTGTTACTGTAGTTCTGTTTGTTTTCTGTTCTCCACACGGCTGCGCTTTCTCTGACCTTCTCTCTCCTCGCAGGCTGTCAGCTGCCCCCTCAGTCCCAGCGGATGGACGCAAGCCCCTGCCCAAACTCACCCGTGTTCAGGACGGGCAGTGAGCCCACGCTGAGCCCAGCGGTTGTTCGCAGGGTCTCCTCGGACAAGAGGGCAGGTGAGGCACTGCGGGGATCAGACAGCCAGCTGTGCCCCAAGCCACCCCCCAAGCCCTGCAAGGTGCCCTTCCTCAAGGCGCCCGCCCCGCCGGCTGCCGGGCTCAACTCAGAGGCCAACTACTGTGAACTGAACCCCGCCTTTGGTGCAGGCTGCGACAGTGGAGCAAAGCTGCCCTCACGTGCCCAGGGCAGCCCCGCAGAACTGCTGGCAGCCAAACAGAATGGGGCAGCAGGTCCCCGGCACTCCGGCACGAACTACTTGATTCTTGATGGGGTCGACGGAGCCAGACCTGGGGACCTCCCGGGAGCACAGATGGGTGAGGGGCAGGAAGACAAGTGCAAGTTTGTGAGGCCCCTCCTGGAGACTGTGTCCTCCTTCAGGCCCAATGACTTTGAGTCCAAGCTCCTTCCTGCTGAGAACAAGCCCCTGGACACAGCTATGCTGAAACGGGCGAAAGAGCTGTTCATTAACAGCGACCCTAAGGTCATCGCCCAGCACATGCTGAGCATGGACTGCAAGGTAAGTGCAAGCCCGGCAGCCAGGCTTCTCCTGGCTTTTGGAAGGTTTGCACGGGAGCCTTTCTGGCCTTACTCTATCTGCTGGTCAAGTGCTTTGCTCCTAAGAAAAGTCTGAAGATAAAAAGGGTGTGGGATTTATTTTCAGGGTGCGACCCAGAGTCCAGACAACCTTTGCCCAGGCAGGAAGCTGATAAACTTTGCCTTAGACAGAAGGAGAGCAGGGCGTCCCACCCGAGCTGGTGACAGGAGTTGCTACAGAATCTACTCTTCTCTCACTTGGTACTTCGTTAAAAATTCTCCCCTGGCCTCAACCTCATTAGGACCGGTAGAACCAAAGGAGAATGGATTGAGATGAAAATGTAATTTCTGGAATAGCAGAGCCCTGATTATTTTTATTTCATTATATATACTATATATTTTGTTACTAAAATGATCTCCAAAGTAAACAAACTTGCTGGGCATGGTGACACATGCCTGTAATCCCAGCACTCAGGAGGCTGAGGCAGGAGAATCACAAGTTCAAGACCAGTCTGGGCTACATAGTGAGTTACAGGTCAACCTGAACTACATAGTGAAACTCTGCTTAAAAAAGTAACAAATTTTGTGATGCTGACCACTGAACACAGGGCCTCACACATGCTAGACCAGTGCTCTATCATTAAGCCTATGTCCCTTACCCATAAATAAACATTTTTAAAGTTACTTTGATTTTTGGTGAGTACAGTGGCATGCTCATGTAGTTTCAGCACTCCGGAGTTTGAGACCTACCTGAGCACTATAACAAGACTCTGTCTCAAAAAGTAAAATAAAAAAAATACCCTGGCTTTTATTTTTTACAATAATTGCTTGATTTAGGAAAAGTTAAAATCACACAAAATCCAGTTTCCGTGGTAATCACCATTGGCAACCCTTGGTGTCTGCGCTTGGTGTTACATTATTTGTTCTGCACGGGGAGACATGTAAATAATGCATGAATAACTGTTGGCTTTGTTTTGTTTACTATTTTGGGGATTGAACCCAGGCCTGGAACCTACTAGGCAAGCACTTTACCACTGAGCTACATTCCTAGCCCTTTCTTAAATTTTGAGGCAGGGTCTCCCTAAGTTGCCTAGGCTGGGCTCAAACTTGTGATCCTCCTGCCTCAGCCTTTTGAGCATCTAGGATTACAGCTGTGCACCACCATGCCTGGCTGCTTGATGTTTCTTTGCCATGCAAATGAGACTGGTCTGGACATACTAATCGAAAGCCAGAGTCCTTCATTGGACAACATAACTGTCTTTCCACATGACTAAATACAGCTGTTTATATCAGCATGGCTTTGATAGGCATCATTACTTTTAGGTGCAGGGGCTTTTGCGCATTGGTGGTCTCAAGGCAACCTCTTCAGAGAGGTATTTCTCAACAACAGGTTCTTGGGCTGGGGTGGGCTCAGTCCACTTCAGTATAAAACAGCCGATCTCTGGTGAATGGATTGACAGATGAGGCCGCAGTAAGGTTTGAAGTCCTTTTTTCAGGTGAATCTTTTTCATTCGTAGCTGAGGGAAGTCAATTAACTTCAAATGTCAGGATTTATTTAAGAATCAGATCTTTGTTCCTTAGTCAGGAATCATGACTGGAAACCTAGTCTCTGCGCACTCCTTCAGGGAGTTCTGAAGTAAGTTAAGGGCCCCCAAAATGACCTCAAGGAACTGGTTTCCTGGTTGTGCTGGCCCTCCCTGCAAACAGTTTGAGGGACCCCTCAGCAATCAGTGACCCTAGCTGCCCAGTCCTGGGAAGTGGTCCATGCTGAGTGGGTAGAGAAGGGGCCCCCTACTGGGGAAGCCCAGAGGAGAGAGCCAGGAAGGGTGCTCTAGAAGCACAAGGCTTGTTGACTCCACTGGCTGTATGTCCAAGGGCAGTGCATACATGGCCAGGCAATTTGCAGGGTTAAGTTCTGACCTATCTTTAAACTGTTTGGAGGTGGGAGAATTGAGGATTTCTGTTCCAGTGTGTCAGTCCCACTGGGTCCCAGAACTGAGAGCAGAACCATGCCAACAGGCCAGGAGTGAGACTCCAGTCTGGTATGCACCTGCTGGGGTCTCCACAGAGAAGCTCCTTGTAAAAACATGAGCCTGGGTTGACAGAACAGCTCAACTCCCAGGGGGAGTGAATGCTGTGGCCTCCGGGCTTGATGATGATGTATGAGAGGAGATGCCTGCCCCCTACTTTGCAGGAGATTGGAATCTTCCCATCTCCTTTGACAGCCACGAAACTAGGGCCAGAGTCTGTTCTCAACTGAGAAATGTGGTACACCCTCTTTCTTGCTCTAGGGCATGTTGTCCTCCTGGTGGAGGCCACTGCCATGTCTGCCCCTGAGTGCTCCAAAAAAAGAACCACATGGAGATGCTAGACATTGAGGAACCAGGCTGGACTGTGCCCACCCCAGCCCTGTGGCAGAGCTGCGTTCAGTCCTCTTTCCCTCCTTCCAGCTTTATTTCCCTGTTCTCTTCCTGGAATCACCAGCACAGTCAGTGTCTCTGAGAGGAGAAATTGTTCCCTACCACAAATGTAGTGGCAGCCAGGCAGGGCCACCCACTGAGCCAGCAGCAGGCATTGGGCAGCATCTGGGGCTCACATGCTGTTTTCCATCAATGCACACAGCCCTGGGACTGATGCCCTGAAAGCTATCAGGAAGCCTGAGTGCCATGGAGTCCAGCAATGTCCAGCGCCCACCTGCAGGGCCTCTCACTGCAAAATGGGTGCTGTCCTTGCCTCACCCATTGGTGACCTTCCACCTGTGTCTTTTTCCCATAAGTGAGGCCAGGGAGTAAAGATTTTGGCCTCTGAGTGTGAAGTGCCTGAGTTTGAATCCCATCTCTGCATGGCTCTTTCTCTCTTCCTCTATACCTAACTGGTCGAGAAAACTGAGATAATGTAAAGCCCTGGGCATTTGCCTGGTCCAGAGTGAGCACTAAATGTTTATTATTTATTAGTGTTAAGTATTCAGCATTGATTGAGCTCCTACTGTGTACCAAGGCAGCTCAGGTTCTCTGCCCTGCCTCTGGTAGGGGCAAAGTAGAAAAGGACAGCAAAACAGGAACTTGAACTACAACCCAAGAGGGAAGCATCCTGCAGGGAAGGCATGGGAGCTGGGGGCCCTGGACAGGTCCTTGAACCAGAGCTTATGGCTAGCGACGGGTGGTATGAGATGTTTGGAAAGCTGAGGAGTTGCCAGGTGAACACAAACTGTATCCTGTAGGCAGCAGGAAGGCATATTTGCAGGGTCTCAGATAACAAAAGCCATGGGGAGAGAGGCTGGTTTACAAAGGATCCTTTTGAAATTGCAACCTAAGTCTGTTTGCAACTGAAGAACATTCGGGTGAAGATGGTGGGATGGGGTAGGAAGGGGAGGGCTGGTGGGTCTCACCTATAGTGCTTCTCAGTCTCTACTTCTGGGCTCGTACCAGGTTTCTCCTTTCAAAACACTTTACTGTCAGGTGAGGGGTCCTCTGTGCTAGGGCAGCAGAGCCAGCGAGCAGAGCCTGGCGTTCTCATTGCATTTCAGAAGGTCCCTGGCAACTGGGAGGACGGCCAGGTCAGGTCCCGCCAGCCTCCCTGGGTCACCACAGCAGTCTCCTCGGTGGTAGAACGAGGAGAAATGAGCAGAGTGCTAAAATCAACTGCCAACTACGCCAGTTGTTGGCTCCCTGGGGTGGCGGGGGAGAGTTTCGTGGGTGAGGTCCCAAGGTTAAAGAACACACATGTGGAAGACGTCAGCAACAATAGAAGGCAGCATAGAACAGAGTGAGAGCCGCCTGCGTCTTTATTGTATAATTCTTATACAGGCTGTTATCTCATATTTACATTCCTGTATAATGCTGTAACCAGCATGTGCATGTTTACCTGTGCTAAGTCATGCTTACGTAACTGCATCCCACTGTGCACAGGTGCTACACAAGAGGGGTCACATCCTCAAATGTCCTTAGATGCCCCTGAGCTTTGACACAGTCGGAGTGGTTCCCCACGTCTCACCCCCTCCAAGGTCGGGGATATATAAATGAATATTTTATACGTAACGGCACAAGTATCCATACTTAACAAATCAAGAACCATGTGGTTTTGCAAAACCACTTTTTTCATTTGCACGGTTTCATCCATAAGCAACATCAAAGCCTGGCACATAACATTCAAGGCTTGGGCTTTATGTTGAGCAAGGGGTTTAACCTGGAGGGCTAAGTTTATGGTCTTTGCCCCTGGTCAGATGCTATTGCTAGTCAGACACTATTCCTAGTGGCATCCCATAGGCAGCAGTCAATTTTCAGGTCAGACACTGTTCCTAGCGGTCAACAATTGCAATGCCTGATCAGAGCATCTGCTGAGTCATTTCCTGGTGAGAAGAGGGGCTTCTGTTCTGAACCATGATAACCTATATGGTGAGCTTTTGGGTCATGCTCCCATACTTCTCAACATAAGATGGTGCCCCACAAGCGATGGTGCCCTGTCTGTCACTCTGGAACTGCCCAAGCCGGCTGCCAGAGCGTCAGCCCCCTAAAGACGGCCCAACTGTCTGCGCATACAGTCTGCGACTCTGCCCACTGGCTTGACCTGCCTGTTCCAGTTTCAAACCAGAGTACTTCCATGCTGGACTAGACAGCAACTGCTGTCCACTGTGGGGTTGGCTCACAGGTAGACCCATCAGTGTATCTGGCATCAGCCAGAGGTCCGTCCTTCCCTTCCGCACAGGGACTGGGGCTAAGTCTTGTATCCGTCCTCCCAGATGGGTCCCAGAACTGTTGCCAGTTCAGCTGCCAACAGGCTAGCTGAGAAAGTGGCCGCTGCTGGAGGTAGGTCCCCCAGTGCATGAGAGTGGGGGCCTGTGCCACCCGACTCCTGGGACAGGCTGTGCACATCCGTGCCTAGCCCTGTCTCTGTCCCGTGGCTCCTCACAGGATGCAGAGCAGTGTACACCGCTGCTGTTCTCAGTCATGGAATACCAGCTCTTGGCTCCCTTCTACAGCCGTGACCAAAACCCAACAGTGTGCTTTTAGCTTCCCCTGTGTTTGCCATAGGCCTCAGCCAAATCCGTCATCATCCGCATGGACCATTAGGATAAATGGCAGGGTAGGGCCAGTGACTCGTAGGGCTGGCACCTGTGAAGGGCAGCGGGAGGCTGGAGCATGCGGCGTTCATGCTGCCCTGCTGGGCCCCGCCCACAGTAAAGGATCCTCTGTACTGTAAAGGGTGCTATAAGGGGTCCTCCTCTGCATTTGGGGACCGAACTTTAACCCTATAGTGTGGACTCAAGGTTCTCTTGTCCGGGAGCTCAGCCAGGGGAATCCAGTATGGCCCTAAGAAAGAGACTGGGGATGGCAGTGTCTACTCTGAAGACAGAAGAGGCCTTTCTCTCAGAACAGGGGTCGCAGAATGCCTGCTCGTGCTTGCAGAGCAAGATGGAATCACTGGCGAGCCTCAGTCTGATTACAGAGTGTCTGTGGGTTGGAAGGCACCCCACAGAGGCGCGGGGTTTGGAGCTTCTGACAGGACAGCTGTCCAAACAAGTGAGGAAGTGTGTGGAGAGGGTATCGAGGCTGCCTTGCCAGAGTCGAGGCAGAAAGCTTTTTCCCAAGAAAAAATTCTGATCCAGCCAGAATGCTTCCCATTTCCCTCTGATCAGCTTACACAGTCTAACAGCTTTAGGGGACCCTCAGGTTATCGGAACCCTTTGCCAAGTCCTTGAGAAAGGTGAACTAACTTGCCAGTGGGTTAAACAAGGGGAGACTGAGGCCTGAAGAACAGACGTGAGAACACATTATGGCTTCTGCATCCTGTTTGAGGGTTTACCACGGGGCAGCTAATTCCACAGGCTCATCTGTAGGGATACTGGTGGTTCCTTTATTCAACCACAGAAGTTAAGGCTCAGGGTTAATAATACTGACCAAATTTCCAGATGTTTTTTGTGGCCTATTATGAAGACATCTGCACTGCTCATATGCCTGGGATAATTACAGTCAAGGCCAAGTCCTCCGACGGAGAAGAGGAATTGTCCTGTGCCTGCTGTGTCCAGCCCCGGCTAGACCTGTTGTATCTGCTAGTTGCATTGTCATTACATCGGCGTGTAGTGGAGTCGTAGCCCTGTTACAGAGACACACTGACACAGTTGTAACATCTCAACGTTACGTGTTCGTGCTGTAAATGGCCAACTAATGCCTGAGTTCAATAAACTGTGATTACGTACTAGAACTGAGATGGGGTGGGAGCTGGCTTGGACTAAGATTTCCTTTAAGAAAAGCCTTTTAGGAAGAGACAGAGAATGTTTGAGACATTGGGTTTCAGATCACTGTACGCGTTTGTAATAGTTTTCAGATGTAGAGTGCATTTACTGAACCCAAGGGAGGCGTAATCAAGGGTAATAGCAGCCAGCCATGGCTGTTAAGTGAGAACATGAATGGCAAAGCCCACAGCAGAGGGGAGCTTGGATGGGACTCTGCTTTTCCACAGCAGGGGATAACGGCTCCACACACACACACACAACCCTGGTGTTGGCAGCAAAACATCACAGCAGGTTCCAGCCTGTGTCAGACAAAAGCTCGACAAATTAAAGTGTTCTCTGATGGGCAGGAACATGTACCAGGTCTGCGGATTCTGCAGAACAGTTGAGGTGTTCCCCCAATCTTTCCTTCCCCCTGAATTTGATATTCTAGTATGTGCATTAAAATGTCACAAATATCATATAAGAGCTATGCTGCAGCTGAGCTCTGCTGCAGCTCATAAAGAGATACAAGTAAAGGACATCCCCAGCATCCCAGTTTAGTGTGCTGCTTTTCACACACAGAATCTGCTCTCTGGCCAGCCCTCTTGCTGATCTAGTGAATTTCAACTTCACTCCTGGCAGGTTGCTAGGATACTCGAAGTCTCTGAAGAGATGAGGAGGAACATGGGTGTGAGCTCAGGGTTGGAGCTTATTACCTTGCCTCATGGACGCCAGCTGCGCCTGGACATAATCGAAAGGTGAGCAGTGCTATCCTCTGCCTTTCCCACCCTTTTCAACACCTTGCAGGTTTTGGAGGGCGGAAGGAGCAGCACCAGCCCTGCCTGCCTCAGCGTCATCTTGTGGCCACAGGGGACTCTTCTCAGAAGGCTGCGCTGAGAATTCCTGGAGATGCACAAAGACAGGATACAGCACAAGTCAGGGACAAAGAGCACCCTCCTGGCCCTGTTCCCAGAGCGAGTGGATGGAGAGAAGAGCCCTGTGTGTGGCTCATAGGCATCCAACCAGCCTGGGGCCCCGGGTCCTGCTGGGCTGCAGACATCTTCCTGCTCCCCATGGCCCCCAGCCCCATCTCAGGAGCTGTGGGAGGTGGGGGTTGGTAGGTACGGAGAAGAAAAGCTTGTGAACATTTTCTTTGTGGGGTGGACAAAAGGAGAGTCAGTGGTCAGAGGAGGATGGCACTCAGCCCCTGGCCTCCAAAGTATCTCTGCTCCAAAGAGTCTCTGCTGTCCTCTCTCAAAAAGCCAGGGCCCTGAGTGCCCACAAAAATGCACATGCAGGAATATGGATCTACAGAAATTAGACACGCAGCGAGGCATGCTTTTAGGAAAAGAAGTATGAGTAAATGTCCTTATTTACCTCAAAAGCCAGCTTTTCTGACATATTAAAAAAAAACAACAAAAACCTGACTTGAGCAAGACTGTCTTATCTTAAATTTTCTCTTTATACAACAAATACCATGGTGGCCATGACTGACTCCAGGGCTTCCCATGATGCTTTTGGTCATGGTCCTGTCCAGTTCAAATATCTGCACTGGCCACTGTGTTAGCCACTACCACTCGTGGCTACAGGGCACCTGAAATGTGGCTACTGAGTATAAGGTGGCTAGCACATGCCAGCCTCTTAGGAAGTAAACAGCCCATCTCAGACAACCTTCTGGGGATGGATACAGCTGCTTTCAAGGTTCCTTGGCTTTAAATTTGTTAAGACAACTCCAGTGCTGCTGTTGCGTTGGCCTCGCAGCCCCAGATGCGCCCATAGAAAACAGCGAGAGTGTTAAGCTGAAGACATACAGAGCACGGAGGTTAAGAAGAGGCCCATGCAGACTGTAAGGACATCCGTGTTTTGAGGATTGGAGACAGTACAGATCCTATGACTGAACTGCCCTTTGCCTGATTCCGGCCTCCTCCCCTCGTGCCCAGGGCTTGGCTTTTCGGTTCCACTGACTTCCTCTCCGTTGTTGTCAGGGCCAAGGGTCACCATTTCACTTCCACAGTCTCCTGTGAACTTTCCAGCCTGAAAGCTCCCCAGATGTCAGGCCTGTGACTCTGAGCTTTATTTTACCAGTGCTGGGGTATGGGTTCTAAGCCCAGGCTGTGGCAAGCAGGCTTGGGACTTCTCTCTTGGCTGTTCTGACTTTCACTTTTGTCAGCATCCATTTATATTTTTTCTCTAGATTTCTGCTGGCCTGGGGTCTCACTCCTTAGCCTGTTTCTTGTCCAAAGCTGCCTTGTTCTGGAGCCAGGAAGTGGTTTAATTAATTAGTGTTTTAGTTAAATAAAGGCTAAGGTCACAAGGGTCCTGAATAGCCCAATGACATCACTTTCTTGCCTTTCAGGGTCAGCTCTAACTAGCGATGATTTCTTATTTACCACCTCACTTATCCTGGGCACGCTGAGCTGGAAATGGCCTCTGTGTGACATTTGAGTGCCTCCTACTCCTGACCTGTTGGCATGAATGCTAGACTCTCCATCCTGACTCATTCACTCCAGTGGTAGACCCAGGAGGTCCTGGGCAAGTGGATGAATTAATGGATATAATTACCCAGCTGATACATTAGGTCTTAAAGGAGAGAACCTGTCTTTTATCAAGGAGACCATTAAAACATAGGGACAACAACAACAAAACATTGATAAAAGAATTAATTGATATGGGAAATTAGTCTATTGCTCTTAAAGACATATCTAAAATGTTCCACGCAGTGTTAATACTCTGTAAAAGGGTACAAAATTCTTCAACAGACCTATGTTTGGATTCATTAATTGAGAAAGACAAGAAACCAGAAAAAAAAGATACACTGAGAAAAAGGAAAGAGACAGGCAAATTGAGCCAAGACATAGAGGGACAGACACACAAATAGAGATAACAGTGGTAACAAAAACTGTCTATTAGGTGCCTATTATTTTTATAACCCCACCCAATCTCCTTTTTTTATACCTGCTCCCATTTTACAGATGAAAAAACTGAGAAGAGCAGTTAGGTACCAGCTTCAGATCACACCACAAGCAAACATCATGCACATTTATGTGCACATACACTCAGCGATGTTGAAACTCATTACTTACTTGAAAAACACTGGAGAAATTAGTAATGCTAGTCATTGCTTGCTATCCTTTGTTCAGGGGTGATGTTTTGGTTACTTTTCTCACGTTGCTGAGATAAAATACCCAACACCCAGAATTAAGGAAGGAAAGGTTTATTTAGCTCACAGTTTGTGGAGGTTTCAGTCCATACTCAGTTGGCAGGGTGGCACATGGCAGAGGGCAACCGTTCACAGCAGCAGAAGATAACAATAGCAGCAAGAGCAAAATGGAGGAGCCGGGGCAAGCAGCCTCTTTCCCTCCCTTTCATTGTACGCAAACTACCCGCCCCAAGGCAGGTGTAGCGTTCACATCCATCATTTCAACATTGGACTATAAATCAATCAAAAATCTAGAAGCCTGCCCCATGACTGCATGAGGATTTGGGGGGACATGCAGACACAAACCATAACATTCCACCCCTGGCCCCCCAAAGACTCATATACATCCTTTTATGTAAAAGACATTTTAGTCCATCTCTAAGAGTTGCCAAAGTCCTAACATTTTCAGCACTGCTGAAGAGTCCAAGTACCAAGCCTCCTCCAAGATGTAAGGCAAACTCTTAGCTGTGAGCCCCTGTACAAATTAAAAGTTAAACACTTCCAACATTCAATGGCACAAAATAAACAGTACCATTCCAAAAGATACAAACAGGGGGACACAGAGCATTGGGACCAAAGCAAGTCCAACATCCAACAGGGCTAACATCAAGTCCCGCAGTTCTATACTCAACATCCAAGGCAATCTGTGACAAATTGTGAGCTCCAAAGGGCTTGCATGACTCTGCTCTATGGCACTTCTGGTGGTGTAGTTCCCACAGCTTCTCTCTTAAGCCTTCTGCTTTGCTCCCTCCTTGCAGCTTTCCTCAGACAATCCACATTCCTGGTTTTTCCAGACTTCCGAGGTCTACACTGCACCTCTTGCATCACACTCAGCTTCACACACTGCACTCTCGGGGGCACACTGCCTGGCCTCTGAGGCCTTCTTCTGAAATCGAGGTGGAAGCCTTTTTAACCTCAGAACTCTTGCATTTTGCATGTGCCTAAAACCAGAGCCACGTGGATGATGCCAAGGCCTGCTGCCAGCTGGAGCAATAGCCAAGCTTTCCTCTTTATGACCATTGGGGTCAAGTGCCCGGATTGCTGGGCACTCCGCACCTGATTCTGAGGAGCAAATTCTCTGTGCTGCCGGAATTCTGCAATATGGAGCTCTGCAGCTTTCTTCTGAAAGCAAAGTCTATCACTTTTGCAGTTTTAAGGCTGCAAAGGGTAGAGACTTGCTATTTCTTGTGATGCCCTCTTGTTCCTCCCCAGCAGTGAAGATCACCTCAGCTCTATCTTTGCAGTCCACAGTTTTACTGGAACTTCCTTTCTGGCCAAACTCACAACATTTTAAATCATCCTGCTGGGCTCTTTGCTCTTGATTCTCAACAGAAATCTGGCTGAAAGCCCCCAACAACAGCCATTCCACCACCTCTACATTCAACTACCTTAAAATTTCTTCTGCCAGATTAACTAGTCTACTGCCCTTAATCTGTTTTAGGCAAAGTCTCTGGACACAAGCTAAATGAGACAAACTTCCTGCCAAGCCATAACACACATCATCTGAAGTCCAGTTCCCAATGCAGTCCTTCTTCCCAGCAGAAGCCTCCCAAACGTGGTCTTTACTGGAAGGATTTCTATCAGCCTTCTCTGGTCTTCTGAGCTCTGACCAGAATCTCCTGTACAGAACAGCTGAAGGCATTCCAGTGCTTCTCTTTCAGGCAACATCTCCAAACCTTTCCAAACACTTCCCACAAGCCATTTCCAAAGACTCTTGAACCACGTGGTCAGGTATAGTCACAGCAATGACCCCACATCTTTAGTACCAAATTCAGTCTGTCCTGGTTATTTTTCTTTCATTGCTGGGACAAAATATCTGATGCCCAAAGTTAAGGAAAGAAAAATTTATTTAGCTCATAGTCTATGGAAGTCTCAGTCCATACTCAGCTGGCTCCAAGGCAAGGCGGCACATGGTAGAGGGCAACTGTTCATGGCGGCAGAAGATAGCAATAGCAGCAAGAGCAAAATGGAGGAGCAGCGGCAAGCAGCCTTTTTCTTTCCCTTATACTGTATGCAAACTACCTGCCCCAAGGCAGGTGTAGCACTCACATCCGTAATCCCAACATTGGACTATAAATCAATCAAAAAGAAGCCTGCCCCATGACTGCATGCAGATTTGGGAGGACATGCAGACACAAACCATAACAGAGGGCAAGAGGTAGACCAGCACACCTGGGCACAAAGCAGGGCATGGAGTGACTTCCTAGCCTGTGAACTTGCAGTGTCATCCCAGAGCTTCAAAGGCATGTTTTATTTTAGTAACCAGAGCTATGAGTTGAGATTCATCTTCCAGCACTTATACTATAGCCTGGAAAAAATTCAACCAAGACAGTTCAGGCCAAATACAATAAACTCCTGGGTCCAGCTTGACAGAGGGAAGAAAGGGTCCATCTGTTTCCTGCCACCAGCCAACCCTGTTCATGTTGGTCCTGTTGTTACGTGGAGAAAAGGTCACCTGCTTCCTGCTCTGAGTCTGAGTTTGACCCAAGTAGTCCAGGGTGAGAAAAGGGAGGATTGCTAAGGGAAGTGAGATTCTATCAGGCTCTGACCTTACAGGCAAATGAATTCCTTCTCATCAGTTATTCAGTCTTTGTCCCCATCTCATTCACTTTGTGGCCTGTAACTGGGGTTGCAGAACACGTTCTTAGCTCCTCTCTCTTCCCTTTTCCCGATGTGGAACTGTGTCGTCTCCTGGGATTGAGTACTGTATATCCTTTCACTTTTTTGTCCTTTCTGTGCCCGAGTCCCGGGGCTCAGTGGAGGTGGCCCCCGCTTCGCCAAGGATGGTATTCTCAGTGTATGTGCGTGTGTGTGCGTGTGTGTGTGAGTGTGAGACCTGGTGTCTCCTTGGAGCTCTCGTGGTGCAGGGTACAAGGAGCCACATATTCCTGAGCCGCTTTGCCCCAGGAGATCTTCATGCCCTCAAGGCCAGAGTTGAACCTATCCTTGTCCAGGTCATCCTACTTTTAGACCATATTGCGCCTTCTGTGTCCTGGCCCGGGCCCTGGCACAATCTGCCTGCTTGGGAATGGTCTCTGTTGAGACTGGCTCTCCAAAATGTCTGACCTGCCAGCACATTTCACAGCAATAGAACCAAATGGTGCAAAAACAGTCCCATTTCTGGCTGATTTGGTGTAGTCTTCTAGACCCATTAACTTGAGCCTAACCACTGATCTTCCTTTCAGACACTGCACAATGGCCATCGGCACTGCGGTGGACATTCTGGGCTGCACAGGCACTTTGGAGGACCGAGCAGCCACCCTCAATAGGATCATCCAGGTGGCGGTGGAACTGAAAGATTCCATGGGGGACCTCTATTCTTTCTCAGCCATCATGAAAGGCCTGGAAATGCCACAGGTAAATTCCATTTGCTTTGTGAGGCCCCTTGAAGAAGTCTGCACAACCATGCTTGGCAAATCAGAGAATTTTAGTCAGTGTCTAAAGATAAATCAAGTATCAGTGAAAACTACCTTACGGAGCAACTAAGAGCAGTGTTTGAAGTATTTCAGCTCTATTTATAAAAACAGTGTATAATTGCTAATAGTCCACACTTTGGAAGGATGACTCCTGTTAATGTGTATCACGGCAACCCCCGCTCCTGGAGAACGAGCTAGGATAGACGTTTGGCTCGCATATGTTGTGTAACAGTAGCTGCTTTCATCTGGGTCACCAGGTGTGCGGCCTTTTTGGGGTAGTGATGGCAGTTAAGCCACTGGGGAAGCTTCTGTCAGAGAATCCCCAAAGTGCTCTGTCTCACAGTACTGTCAGCAAGTCACCTGAAGCAGACTCTTCTGTTAAAAATTGAAATTCTTGGCTCACCTGCCATTCTAACTCCCTAATTAGAATTTCTAAACTCAGGCATTTGAATTCATCTGCATTGGCAGGATTTTTTCGGATGAATGTCAAACATGAAAACCTGTATTTGAAATCAAACAGGCCTTTTAAAGGAAAGTCATCTGTTATCTTTATGCTCAGAATTGGCTTTCCTGTTTCCATCCTTCCAAGCCCTCAGTGCTCGGAGGACCTCAAGTATGAGATTACAGACTTACAAACCTAACCTGCAAGTAGTAATACAAAGCTGCTGGTCATTTAGCTTGGCTGTTTCATAACCACAGATTGTCTCTGAAACCATGCCAGGCGCTCACTGAAAATCCATTGTTGCAGCTGAGGGAGATAGCTACAATCACATTCCTGCAAGTCAGAGCATGGTAGGAGCATAATTTCCTTAATTAAAAAGCAAGGTTCCTGAGCGGGGCATGGTGGCGCCTGCCTATAATCCAGCATTTAGAAGGCTGAGGCAAGAGGACTGCTGTGAGTTTGAGGCCAGCCTGGGCTATATAAGCAAGTTCAAGATCAGCCTGTACTGCACAGCAAGACCCTGTCTCCAAAAACAGACAGGTAAATAAAAAAGCAAGGTCCCTTTAAAAATAAGAAGCTGAACCACCTCATCAGAGGTTTGGGGTATGCATGAGGGGGGAGGGTCATTCCAATTATAATATATTTCACAAGCTTTCAAATTCTTCTGATGCTCGAAATTTTATAAATACTTGAAATAAGGAATCCATAAATTTCCATATTTCCATGATATATTGATTACTAATGTAAAAAATCTTGCTATAATTTTCCATTCAGTTTTTAATTTGCATCACATTCATTTTCCCTTATGCAAAACTGCCTACAATTTTGATGGTAAAGCTGTCCAGCCAGAGCTTCCTCTGAGCATGATAAAAGGGTTTTTTTATGGACTCAACATGGTTGCTGTATATGACATCGAATTCAACAGTTAGGGACTTATCCCGAACCACCCCAACTTTAGTGTGTGTTTGTTCCCCTCCAGCAGTGTGAGCTCCTCGGAGTGAGGGAACACAGTCATCCAGGGTGTTCAGGGCACTGCTAGGGGAGGAAGCGGCATACCAGAGGAAACTGGAGCGTTACTTCATCCTCACATCATCAGCCAAACCTGCCATCCTGCCACAAGCTAAGAGAGTAGCTTCCCTCAGATGGAGGGTTCCTTCAGAGAGGCAGCACTTCCAGGAGGGGGGCAACAGGAGGGGACCTACGAGGAGAAGGCAGCATTATGGGAGGCCAGAGGGAGACCAGCAGTAAATTGGCTGCTGATCCTTCTTACCTTCCTCTTGGAGTACAGGGGGCCATTAGAGGACTAAGGAAAGGAGTCTCAGCTCTGCTACTTTACCAGCTGGGAGATCCTTGGCAAGTTACCTAATCTTTCCTACTTTTTTAAAGTACATATTTGCATTATATCATGAACACACTTATTGTGTGTGGTTGGTACATGTACATGACACGTCTTTTCTTTTTATGTCCCCTTGCATTCCTCCCTCCACCTCATTCCCCTTCACATTTGCCAAAGATCTATCCCCCTATTGCCTATTGTCCTTTATTTTGTTCTTTGATTTATATATACACTTTGGGTTTCTATATAAGAGAAACCATGTGATTTTTAAGATTGTGTGTCTGATTTCACTCAACAGAATGAGAAAAAATTTTTTATCAGGTATACCTCAGACAGAGGAGTAATGTCTAGAATATACAAAGAACTCAAAAAAATGAGATTCCCCCCACCCCTAAAATAAGACCTAATCAAAAGGGGGCAACTGAAATGTATAGAGATTTCTCAGAAGAGGATGCACAAATGGCCAATAAGTACATGAAAAAATGTTTGCCATCACTGGTCATTAGAAACATGCAAATTAAAACACTGAGATTCTGTCTTATTCCAGAAAGAATGGCTATCATCAAGAAATCAAATAGGCCAGGCGTGGTGGCGCACTCCTGAGGCTGAGGCAGGAGGATCATTGTGAGTTAGAGACCAGCCTGGGCTACAAAGTGAGCTCAAGGCCAGTCTGAACTGCATAGCGAGACCCTGTCTCAAAAAGACAAAAAGAAATTTTTAAAAATTTTTAAAAATAAAAAAGAAATCAAATAATAACAAATGCTGTGAGACTGGGGAAAAAGGAACCCTTCTACATTGCTGGGAGGATTATAAATAAGTACAACTACTATAGAAAACAGTATGGAGATAACTCAAAGAACTAAAAACTCAAAATTCTATTTGACTCAACTACTGTATCCCTCATCTAGGAATCTTCCCAAAAGAGTTAAAGTCATCATATTACAGCGATACATGCATACCTGTTATGGTGTGTGTCTGAGGTCCCCCCAAAGCCTCATGCAGTCATGGGGCAGGCTTTTAGAGTTTATGATTGATTCATGGTCCAATGCTAGGATTATGGTGTGAGTGCTACACCCGCCCTGGGGCGGGTAGTTTGCATACAGTGTAAGGGAGGGAAAGAGGCTTGCTTATGCTGCTCCTCCCTTTTTGTTGTTGCTGCTTTTGCTGTTTTCTGCCACCATGAACTGTTGCCCTCTGCCATGTGCCACTCTGCCTTGGAGCCAGTCAAGTATGGACTGAACTCTCCACAAACTGTGAGCTAAATAAACCTTTCCTTCCTTAATTCTGGATGTCAGGTATTTTGTCTCAGCAACAAGAGAAAAGTAACCATGACGGAATTTGGTACCAGAGAAGTGGGGTCACTGCTGTGACTATACCCGACCATGTGGTTCAAGAGCCTTTGGAAATGGCTTTTGGGAAGAGTTTGGAAAGGTTCTGATATTTTGCCTGAAAGAGAAGCCTTAGAACACCTTTAGCTATTCTGTAAGGGATATTCTGCTCAGAGCTCAGAAGACCACAAGGCTGATAGAAATCCTGCCAGTAAAGTCCAGGGTTGGGAGGTTTCTGCTGGGAAAAAGGACTGCATTGGTTGTTGGGCTCCAAATGATGTGTGTTATGGCTTGGCAGAAAGTTTGTCTGCATTTTGCTTGTGTCCAGAAATTTGTCTGAAACTTAAGATTAGGGGCAGTGGACTGATTAATCTGGCAGAAGAAATTTTAAGGTAGTTGAATGTAGAAGTGGTGGCATGGCTGTTGTTGGGGGCTTTCAGCCAGATTTCTGTTGAGAATCAAGAGCAAAGAGCCCAGCAGGATGATTTAAAATGTTGTGAGTTTGGCCAGGAGAAAAGCTCCAGTAAAGCTGTAGACTGCAAACATAGAGCTGAGGCAATCTCAATCGCTGAGAAGGAACAGAATATAAAAGACGGCTAAGAGCATCACAAGCAGCAGCAAGTCTCCAGCCTTTGCAGCCTCAAACCTGCAAAAGCGAAAGACTCTGCTTTGAGAAGAAAGCCACAGAGCGCCATGTTCCACAATGGTGGCACTGGCCTCACCATATGCCAGAATGGTAGCAGCATAGAGAATCTGTTCCTCAGAATCAGGTTCAGAGTGCTCAGCAATGTAGGCACTCCACCCCTATAGCCAAGAGAGAAGAAAGCCTGTCTACTGCTCTAGCTGGCAGCAGACTGTGGCATCCTCCATGTGGTGCTGGTTTTAGGTGCATGGAGAATGCAAGAGTTCTGAGGTTAGAGAGGCTTCCACCCAGATTTCAGAAGGCCTGGGAGGCCAGGCAGTGTGCCCCTGAGAGGGCAGTATGTGAAGCTATGAAAGAGAGGCCAAAGGTGCAGTGGAGACCCCAGAAGTTTGGAGAAGCCAAGCACATAGATTGTCTGAGGAAAACTGAAAGGAGGGAGCAGAGTGGACCCAAGAGAGAAGCCATGGGAGCTACAACCACCAGAAGTGCCACAGAGGTGGAGCCACATGGAACTTACAATTTGCCACAGATTTCCTCAGATGTTACATATGGAACTACAGGACTTAATGTTTGCTCTGTGGAATTTTGGACTTGCTTTTGTCCCAATGCTTTATATCCCCGTTTGTACCTTTTGGAATGGTATGTTTTATCATTGTGTACAACCAAAATTAAAGTGTTTGCATCACATTCCTATACCTTTATGTTAGGACAGCCTCTATACTGGATGCTCAGTAACACCTATCCACATCCAAATACAGGTACTCCTTGGCCTGGAAGTTCTACTTCTGGTAGCTTATCCTCCAAATATTTTCACTCATGCACACATCTGTAAAACCTTTACAAGGTAATTTTGTAATTGTAAAATGTTTAAAACCTTTATCTACAGAGACTAAACTATGGCTTATCCTTAGAGTGCAACATTATGCAGAAATTTAACAAAACGAGGCTGTTCCATATGTACTTATATGACATGATTTTTAAGCAAGTATCTACAGTATGATGTGCCCTGATTTCTTTTCAAAAGAGTAGACAGATGCACACATACAAGCAGTTGAAGAAAGTTGTCTCTGGGATGGGCCATTAGAACAATGCAGAATAGGATGAGGCGGGTGACTTCTCTGTACTCTTAAGTGGTTTTCACATTTTTACCATGTATACCCATCATATTTTAAAATTTAAGCAGGAAGTTACTTTTTTTAAAAAAACCTTTTCTGAAGTGACGATACCTTTCTTTCAGATTGTGAGGTTAGAAAAGACGTGGACTGCCCTGCGGCACCAGTACACCCAAACTGCCATCCTCTATGAGAAACAGCTGAAGCCTTTCAGCAAAATGCTGCATGAAGGCAGAGGTGAGCGCAAGTGGGCAAGGAGAGAGCCTGCTGGCTGCCCGTAAGTGTCCAAGCCCAATAGGTCCTATCTGTTCTGTCAAAGCATCTAATAGGACATGTCAGGAGACCCCGTGTTGCCTGCAGCCCTGCTGCTGGCTCAAGGCTTTTATCCGGTGATAGCATCACTTGTACAAGGTTTGCATTTGTTGTAAGACAACACCATTCACTTCATTCTATGATTAGCTTTCAAGAAAATGACATGGAAAATGATTCCTTATTCTTCAGAGTCCACGTGTATCCTCCCAAGTAACGTGTCAGTCCCACTGCTGATGCCACTTGTGACCTTAATGGAGCGTCAGGCTGTCACTTTTGAAGGAACTGATATGTGGGAAAAAAATGACCAAAGCTGTGAAATTATGCTGAATCACTTGACAACAGCACGATGCATGGCAGAGGCTGCGGACAGCTACCGGGTGAATGCTGAAAGGGTCCTGGCAGGTAGGAGTTGTTTTTTGTAGGCTGCTCTATGCTCTGTGGAGTGGAAGAGTGAAAGATCAGATGCCCTCAAGTGGTAAAAAGACCCGGGGGAAAGATTAAGGCATTGGAATTCCATTTCCAGCGTGATTGATCATGGGATCAATTTCAAATGACTTGAGTCTATTTTCTCCTTTCTTTGTGTTGTGTCAGTAAATAAACAGCGACACAGGGTCAAGAAAGTCCTTATTAGTATGTGTAGGAAGTGGGACTGGAAAAGGTGGCAGGCTAACATGAGGCATTTTATCTAGACTCCATTTATCTGCATTCGTCTTCTTCTCAGCCGCACTGGCAAGTGAGCTCCCCTGCTGCTAGCATCTGACATACGCAGAAAGTGCTGGGTAGAGTGTTGTATAAAATAAACCTTCGCATAAGTACTACGGTAACAGAACACAGCTTCCTCAGTTGGCTTGGTAAACATTCATTACAGACATAGTATGTGCAGAACTCTTAAGCAGGCATTTCAGCACAGGGTGGTAAGGCAGAGTGCACCATAGAAACACTTAGGAAAAGTAACCAATTTGGTCAAAGATGTGGGCAAACAGGAAGCATGTGGGGATAATTTCTAGCAGGAAAAACACCTCCACCTTGGTTGTTAAAGTACAAAAGCAATTAACCAGAACACAGATGAGAAAGGGTGGGAATCTGAATCAGAGCCATAGAAACAGGGAGGGGCTACAGCTTTCCCTGTAGGACTGTGGTACAGGAAGATTTAAACAAGAGGATGCCACCTGGTCAGATTTACGTTTCAAAGTGAATCACCCTGGCGACTGTGGAGGAATGCTGGACAAGAGGTGTGGGCTTACAGGAAAAAATGCTAGAACAAGGGCTCTCCCAAGGCAGTTATCAGGGATGACCACGGTCTCTTCTTTCTATACAATTTTTTAAATGGAGTCTACAAAGGCCCACAGTTTGACCCATAAAGTTAGAAACTACATGAGACAAGACAGACCCGTTCATTTTATCCTAAAATAAAGTTGCTGCCTCAGAACCACAATTTGGGACTGAGCGGTCTTGTACTGTGTCAGTTGTAGGTTTAAGTACCACATACCTGTTGTTACTTATCCTCAAAAAGTCCTCAAGTTTGGCAGTGTAAAACTCAACAAAAGCACACGATTCAATAGACACCAGAATGCCTACTTACATGAAGCTGGTAAGTACATCCCACTAGAAGTCTCACAAGCAAATCCTGTATTTGGGTGGGCTTGAGAAAAGTGTGTTTAAAGCTGCTATACATATCATTCTAAAGATAGCTGATAGAGTTTTTCATATGGTCCTGTCACAAATTTATATAGCAATTCCAAGTGCTGGAAGGGACTAGATTTGTTCACCAGCATCAAGTGCAAGGTAAGGGGTTCAAAGCATGTTAACTGAATAAGCAGAAATCACTGGCCTCTGGTTGGTTATTCATAAATGACATTCTGGTATCCTCTCGACAGGATATGTTCTTTCCACCACCAAGACCCCCTGATATAGACAGTATGAGTACATTTAATGATGTACCAGTTCAGCAGTAATAAAGGGAGAATGACATAACCCTGGCTAGCTAACTCACCCGCCTCCTCTTATACAGCTGCTGAGTATTTTTGGCCTTAAGTAGGCCAGAACAGGGTTAGGAAACTGGCCCACACAAATTGGTGCCAACTGATTTTTGACAAATGTGCCAAGATAACTCACTAGATAAAGGACAATCTTTCAAAACATGACCCTTTCAATAAAAGAACTGCTGGACATCTACATGCAAAGAAAAAAAGCACCTCAACCTGTACTTTATACCAGACACAATAATTAATCCAAAACAGATCACAGATGCAAAATGTAAAGGCTAAAGTACAGCATAAAGCTCTGATAAGCGAACATAAAAGAAATTCATTGTGCCCTTGAGCTAGGCAAAGGTTTCTCAGGACACAAAAACATGAACTGCAACAGAGAACACTGATAAATAAAACACTTAAATTTCTGCTCTTAAAAACACACCATTAATCAAGCAAAAAGGTAAAACACAGACTAGGAGAAAATATTTGCTAAATGTGTACCTGGTAAAGGACACATGTAGATCACATAAAGACAACTCGCAACTCAATGAGAAGACAAGATTTAAATAGACAAAAGATTTGTATATACAGTATGTAAGGGTGACAAAATAACTACATGCAAACCAGGGTTAATTACAGGACCACATGAAAAGATGTTCAACATTATAAATCATTAGGGAGTTGTCAATTTTACTACAAAGTCTACAATAAAAGAATAGTAAGACTAAGCTGGCAGCACATACAGAAACTAGATTTTTCATGTTAGGTGTGAATATAAAGTGGTACAACGTTTTTGGAATAGAGTTTATGACAGCCCTCCCCACACACACACCCGTACTGGGAATTGAACCCAGGGCCTTCACACTGCATTATATCCCCAGCCTTTTTGAATTTTGAGACAGGATCCTGCTAGGTTGCCCAGGCTCAAGCTGTGGTCCTCTTGCTTTATTTTCGCCTTCTAGAGTGCTGAGATTACAAGTGTGCACACCATGCCCAGCTTATGACAATTTCTTTAAAAGTAAACATATATTTACTATATGGCCCAGTAATTCTGTTCTTACAGAAATGAAAACACATGTCTATAAACTGTTACACAAATACTGACATTATTCACAGTAGCCAGAAACTGGAAATAATCCAAATGTCCATTAGTTAGCGAAAGGGTATGCAAAATCTGGTATATCCATATAAATGACAACTACTACTACTAAAAGGAATGAATTATTAATAACAGAATAATTTCAGAAACATCATGTTAAGTGGGAGAAGCCTGACAGAAAAGTTCATGTTGTATATTTCCATTTATATCAACTTTCTAGAGAAGGGAAAACAGCAACAGACAGTAGACGAGTGGCTGGCTGGGGCCTGGGGAAGAAACTAGATGATGCATTTTAAAATTATATGTTTACTATCATTAGTCAACTCTACAAACTTAACATCATAAAGTGCACGGGTAACACAGGTGAAACATATGGCATGTAAATGACACAACAGTGAAGTTATGAAAAAACCAGGTCCCATAAATGCTGCACCTCAGCTCTACAACCCATAGTGTCTCCAACACAGAGATTTCACTCTGTCATGTTTTAGTGAGTTAATTTTTCTCTGAAGCTGCTCAGGTTCTTGAGGATAGGGTAGATGAGTAGAACCCACATTTGAGGGTGGGAGTTAACGTTCTGAGAGAAGATGAAGTGTATTTTGATTCTATTATAAAAAAACAAGTTTTTAGTCATTTTTACACTATGTTTTAGGCAGAACTGAAGGTAACTTGTTTTTGTTTTGATTAGGCTTCCAACCAGATGAAGAAATGAGTGAAATCTTTAAGACGGAATTTCAAATGCGATTGCTATGGGGCAGCAAAGGTGCAAAAGTCAATCAGACAGAAAGATATGAGAAATTCAACCAGATTTTAACTGCGCTTTCACGTAAACTGGAACCTCCTCCTGTAAAGCAGGCTGAACTCTGAAAACTCCAGAGAGCCTCTTGGTATCATTTCGAGCTTCTCCAGTTTCTGCTTTGGGAAAGCTTTTCATCTGATAATGTGGAAATCTGACAATATACAAGCTTTTAATATCCACAGGATATTAAATGTGTAAATTGCACAGAGCACACTTATTTATGACTTGTTTAAAACTACTACTGATTTTTACATGAATGATAATTTATTATTAAGGTAACTATTGTGAATGTTGATTGGCAAATTTAAGAGAAGCCTCGCTACACTGGCTGGTCACTTTCTGTTATCCTGGTATTTGACCATTTTAGTTTTCATTCCCTGTCAGATAACTGTAAATAGTTTAAAAGCATGAAACATTTCAGAAGGTATCAGTTGTATGATATTCTTTAAATAAATATGAAAATGTAAATAGTCATGAATGAAAATATATCTTTTGTGAAACAGTTGTATCCAGTCTCTTTGATATTAAATAACTCATCTGGTATGGTAATTCTACCTCCCAGCCTCTGAAAGCATTTTCTCCCCCAGCTACTATATTTTGATGGTAGATCAAAATTATTGAAAATGGTATAAGAAAATTTAAGTTTTCTGCCTTAGGAGACAGAGTGAATAGTGACACAAAAAGTACCAGCTCCAGAAGATCTATGTTCAAACTCAACCCCAGGTGCTAGCTAGCAGTTGGACTTTGACCTACCACATTGAGTGCCAACTGCAGCACAGTACCCGTGCAAACTGGCACCCAATGTCAGCCAACTCACAGGCCAGTCTGCTCTGCAGACACCTCATAAACACACTTGGAATAATGCTTTATTACTTCCCAAGGTATTCCTTACTTCAGTCAAGCTGACACCTAAGGAGATTAAGAACCTACATGGGAAAGACAAAACTATAACGCTTTTAGTATATATATATATTTTACTTTGAATGAACAGAATATCTTAAACCAGACAGAAAAAACATGAACTATCATTCCATCTAGCTGATAAGGACAATGAGTTTTCTAGGTTTCTGACTTCTTAAAGGGGATACTCTATTTTATCAGTAGCTCTCTCAATTTTTTTCCACAGTAAAAAACATAATTACAAGATATTAAAATATTCTGTCACTTTGCTACCAGCTGTCAGATAGTGTTTTTAAATTTTTAAATACTGGGACTATAACAAATTTTATGTCCATCTCCTCAGGCCATGAAGAGTTATTTGCAATATAATGGTCTTTAGGAAAACATGATTTATTGGTTATGCTATATTATATAATCTGGTCACCTTAAATATGCCAGAACCAAGTGTAAGAGTTCCATTATGGTCTTTTTAATACAATGCAAATATTAATTTCAAACCCTGGACTCTATTTCCATAAATGTGGCCTAGATACATATTGGTCCTTCCCTTTAATAAAGGCACCATCACATTTTTTTGTTGAAGAAAACCCCATATACATTTATACTTAGGCAATATAGTGGTTCAAATGCTTTTAGAAAGCCTACTCACTAAAAACTAAATCTTGAATAAATGTTAATAACCATTTTAAGTCTTGACAGAATGAAAGGGAAATCTCCAAGGAACACCCCCTCCAACCCATCCCCCACCCGCAAGGTTCAGCAAATTTAAATCAACTCTCCAAGAGAACTTAAGAGACCTGCTAGACTTGGAGTCCAGTACTCACGACAGTTCAGTGAGAAGCAGAACATGAAATGCATCCATCAGTTAGGGATCCTTAAAAATGGTTCATGTTAATGGACTGGGGTGGGGGTCAAAATAGCAGAAGGAGGTTACCGGGTGTATTAGGACTCTCCAGAAAGACAGAATCAATAGGATATTTATATAAATACGTAGATATATGGGAGGCTAATAAAGGAATTGGCTTACATGTTTATAGAGCCTGACCAGCCATCAAGCATGCTGGAGAACCTGGGATGTTGATAGCATAGGTTAGTCCAACTCCAGGTGCCTCAAAACTAGGTAACCCAATGGTGTGACTTTTTAAAAATTTATTTTCACTTTTACTAGTACATATTTGCAGTACGTAATGATTATGCTCACTGCAGGGGATTGATATGGATATACATAACACATGTCAATTCCCTCCCCCCCACACCCTTTTATTTTTCCAGCATCAGATTCATTTATAAGACCTTATAAAATTATTATATATGCAGATTGAAATCCAGACTAATAGACCAAAGAACATATAAAAGATGTAAGACAAGGGGCTGGGGATTTAGCTCAGCGGCAAAAAGCGCCTGCCTGGCAAGCGCAAGGTCATGAGTTCGGTTCCTGTACCGGAGAAAACAAACAAACAAACAAAAAACCCAAAAAACCATGTAAGACAACTGCATTAAGCCAAGGTACACTTTTAGATATATTGTCTGCATTGGTTACATACTTTTTTTTCTTTCTCTACTTTCCTCTTATCTGTCTTATTTCGTATGCATTTCTGAGTTACTTCACTTAATATTACGGTGTCAAGGTACATCTGTTTTCTTACAAATGACAAGTTTATCCTTTTTATGGCAGAGTAGTACTTCATTGTGTATAAGTACATTTTTTAACCTATTCATCTGCTGATGAACATATAGGTCATTTCCAAGATTTAGCTATTATGAATTGCACTGCTATAAACATTGGTATGCATACATCACTGTGGTATGATGCATTTAACTCTTTGAGAAGATACCTAGAAGGGGAATAGCTGGGTCAAATGGAACTCCTACTTTTAGTTTTTTGAGGAATCGCCATACTGATCTCCATAGTGATTGTATCAGTTTACACTTCCACCAACAATGAAGAAAAGTTCCTTTCTCCGCACAGCCTCGCCAGCGTTACTGGTTTCTTGATGGTAGCTACACTTTCTATAGTGAGCGTGTATCTCTTTTTTAATTTGCAATTCTCAAATTATGAGTGATGTTGAACGTTTTTGATCTATTTGCCTTTTCTATTTCACCTGAGAAGTGTCTATTCACTTCAGATACCCATCTTTGTGGACTAGAGGACTAGATCTTTAAAATGGGGGGGGGGGCGGCAAGGGTCTAATTTTTTTCTTTATATATTCTATGTATTAGCCCTTTGAGGAGTAGCTGGAAAATTTTTTTCCCCATTCTGTAGGCTGTCTTCCCATTCTGTTAATGGCTTCCTTTGCTGTGCAGAAGGTTTTTAATTTGATGTCATCTAGTTTATTGAGTCTTTGTATTCCTTCCTGTGCAAAAGTGGTTTTGTGCAGAAAGCTTGCCTACACCTGTATCTTTAAGGGTTTAATCTATTTTTGTCTTCCAACAGATTTTTTTTTTTTTTACCAGTACCAGGAATGGAACTCACGACCTTGCGCTTGCCAGACAGGTGCTGTGCCGCTGAGCTAAATCCCCAGCCCCTCAACAGATTCTGTTCTAATGTATAGATCTTGGACTCATTTTGATTTTAGTTTAGTACACGGTGAGATACAGGTCTAGGTTCAGCCCTTGGCCTGTGGATAGCCAGTTTCCCCACCACAATTTGTTAAAGAGGCTATCTTTCCTCCAGCAGAGGGATATGGCCCCATTGTCAGTAATAAGTTCAGTATGCCTGGAGTTGTTTCTATGTCTTCTACTCTGTTCCACAAGTCTGTTTTGGTTTTAGTCCCATACTACGATGTTTCTGTCACTAGTTTTGTAGTACAACTTGAAGTCCTGGACTGTGATGCCCCCTGCCTTGCCCTTGTTGCCCAGAATTGCTCTTGCTATTCTAGGTCTCTTCTGGCTCCATATGAATTTTAGGATTGCCTTCTCTAGTTTTGTAGGGAATGTTATTGGGATTGTGCTACATCAATGTAACAGCTTTGGAAGAATGGCCACTTTGACTATATTGGTTCTCTCCACGAACAGGGGACATCTTTTTTTAACCTCCTTTTTCACAATACTGTGGTCTTCATTGTGGAGGTATTTCATTAGTTAGGTTGTTAATTAGACTAATTTGTAAGTATTACATTTTTCTTGATGCTATTATGAAGGATACTGCTTCCCTAATTTCCCTGAGTTTGTTATTGGTGTACAGGAATGCTACTGATTTTTGATTGACTTTATATCCTCCTGTTCCACTGCCAAATTTGGATTGTCATTCTAGGAGTCTTCTGGTGGAGGTTTTGGGGGTCTGCTAAGAAGAGGATCGTGTCATCAGCAGATAATGATAATTCAGCTTTTTCCTTCCAAGTCAATACCCTTTTTCTTTCTCTTGTCCTACTGCTCTAGTATTTCAAGGACTGTAGTAAGCAGAAGTGATGGTAGCAGACATCTGTCTTGTTCTTGATTTGAGAGAGAAAGCTTTTGGCTTCTCCCCGTTTAGTATGGATGTTGGCCATTGGTTTGTCACAGACGGCTTTTATCAGATTGAGATAAAGATCTTCTATTCCTATTTTCCTCAGTTTATTTTTTAATCACGAATGCAGGTTGGATTTTACCAAATGCTTTTTCTCCACCTATTGAGATGATCATGTGATTTTTACCCTTGCTTCTGTTTATGTGGTGTATTACTTTTATTGATTTGCATATGTTGAACCATTCCTGCATCCCTAGAATGAATCCAACTTGGTCAGGATATATGATCTTCTCATGATTTGCAGCATTGTTTGCCAGTATCTTACTGAGGATTTTTGCATGTTTTCATGAGATTAGCCTGTAGTTCTCTTTCTTGTTTGGGTCCTTTTCTGGTTTTGAAATCAGGATAATGCTTGCCTCCAGGAATGAGTTTCAAAGTACTGCTTCCCTTTTGATTTCACTGGCGTTTGAGAAGTACTGGCATTAGCTCTCTAAAGTTTTTGTAGAATTCAGCAGTGAATCTATTGGGAGCTGGCCTTTTCTTAGTTGGTAGTTTATTACTTCTTCAATTTCACTGGCTTACTCAGGATTTTTTATCTTTGTTCAGCTTTGGCAGCACATATGTCTCTAGGAATTTATCTATTTCCTCTGAATTTCTCATTTTATTAGAGTACAAGTTCTCAAAGTAATTACAGATCATCTTTTGAATTTCAGCAGAATCTATAATTCATTGGTTCTCTGTATTATTTTTTAACAGTCTCAATTTCATTAATTTCTGCCCTAATTATAATTTCCTTACTTGTATTAATTTTGGGTTGGAACTGTTCGTTCTCCTAGGACCTTGAGGTGCATCATTAGGTTATCTGAACTTGTTCTGTTTTTCTACTGTGGGCATTGACTGCTATGAACTTCCCTCTAAGGACTGCTTTATTGCACCCTATAGGTTACAGTATGTCATACTGGCATTATAGAAATTGCCTAATTTCTTCTTTAATTTCATCTGTGACCCACTGATTGAGAGCATTGTTTCCACGTGTTTGCTTAGTTTATGTCGTTTCTTTTGCCATTTCTAGTTTCATTGTACTACGATCTGATAATCGTAGTATGGGGTAATTTTGATTCTTTTGCATGTACTTAAGGACGCTTTACTAGCTACTTTGTGAT